GCCATTTGACTTTGATAAATGAAGCAATTACCATTTTTGCTGGCAGCGAATGGTTTGATGAAATTCAACACTGGCTGGTAAAAAATGAAGTGCTGATTGGTGATTAACACACCTTCCTTATGTTGTTTCATTCCAGGGCTCTGTTTCATAATCCTCTTTATTCCGAATAACGCCTAACAAGATGATAAATATATCCCTTTGTTTGACGCTGCGTGTGTGTGTGGGGAGGGGGGAAGGAGCATTACTTCAAAAAAGCATTACTCTATATATATTTTTGAATTTCACCTAATCATTTTGTGCCAAAAAACTACTTCAAATGTCTTAGTATGCAGTCATAACACTCAGTGGGTTACCCTGGTACGATGTGCTTGATCCAGTCTTGTCTTAATGTATCTGATTTGCGTCCAAACCCCCCCCCCCCCTAAATCTGAACTCGAGCGCAATTAGGTCAATATTGAGTGAAAACAAATGAGCCTGTATTCTGGCAGGTTGAAAAATGACCGAAAACACAACAAAATTGAATCAATATTTTAGAATTTTTTTTTTTGATAAAAACAAAATAGCAAAAAATTGTTAGCTCCAAAAGGCCAAAGTTTCGTTTTTTGATCCTCTGCGCCTCTATTCGGTGAAACTAGTGTTGCTTTTGAAGCAACGTTTTACATTACTCTACATAGTTTTTCTCGCAAAATCAAACATCGCATATTCTTTGATTTTCACAGGTACACACCAATTCCCATATTTATTATTTGAAAAAAAAACCATGTAAAACTTTCATAACTTTCGCAGTAACCTTTCATCTTTTTTGTTATATATTTGTAAAAACAACAGATTACTGGAAAAAACTAGATGGCGTACATCGTTGTGGTCAGCTTCGAATCACATTAAAAAATCATTGATAACAAAGATCGAAACGTTTTCTGATTTAATGTTCAATTTAGAATTCATCTCAATTCTTACCAATTCAAATTTTAATTAGACAAAGAGCATGAAAAAATGGCTAATCATAATTAAAAAATAAAATTCATGTTCATGAGTTCTATGGAAACAACTTTTGGGTATAATCATAATTCTCATTTTCTAGAAGGAAATTATGTGAACTCCTACCAGTGACAGGCGAATCTAGCTCAAAGGACAATCAGAATCAAGACTTCTCAAATGGTGTCATCGAGTGTTAGGCAATTTTTTTATTTTGGTTTAAAATTCGGAGTATCATCAATGGAAATTGTATGACTAGCAATTTTTTTGTTAACGACAACAAATAAGTAGTGTGGAAATTGTTCCGTAAAAAAATTGTTTTCTGGCAAAACAAATTTTGTTCTCAAAGTAAATTATTTTATTAGAAGCAAAATTTAATTTTTTGTGTTCATAGCGTAGTACTGTCGGAATGTAAAATTTTTTGTAAAAATTTTTGTCGAAATATAAAAGTTTTGTTTTCATTTGTGTATGACACTTTTAAGACAATTCAAGTTTTTTTTCTGTGCATTATAAATGCATATTGTCCAAATTTTGGTCACTCTATTTGTGAGTAATCTAAACGCATTTGTGTTTTACCAACAAAAACATTTTGAAAAACAAAAATAAAAAAAAACGAATTTTTCAGTTTATGAAAAAAACTCTAGTCAGAAAATTTCTATGGTTGAAAAATCACTAATCATAGACCTTAGATGCAATTTTCTGTAGATTCAGAATTGCATAAAAATTGCTTGACTAGAATTTTGGTCAATTTGGGATATTCGCATAAAAAATTACACCTTTTAAAAAACCAATAAACTATTATTTCTATTATTTTTTCAATAAATCATCTTTCGTGTGAAGTAAATAAATGAATGTCTCATCCAACTGATTTTTAAAAGTGAACAATGGAAAGTAATAGCAAAAGTCGTTGGCTTGTTTCTGCTATAGCGCCCATGACTTTTTCGAAACTTTTCTTTATTGCTCATAGTTTTTCAAGTAGCGTAATAACCAGTGCAATTTGATTGAGACTGCTTGTTTTAGGGCGATGCGTTCCTTCACTCAAATTACATGGATGAAAACCAATTATGAAGTAAAAAATTTGTCATTTTCTAAAATTTTGTCATTATAATCAATTTCTGTTGAAAGTTGAGTCCAAAAAAATATCATCATTACCGTCATTTTTTTGGTAAAACCATGATTCATTATAAGCCAATTCAAATCCACTATAAATGATTATTATGGATAATAATCTATGTATATTTTGCAAATTTTATTGCAAAATTTGCAGCAAGTCCCGCTTTTTTTGAATGCTGGAGGAGGAGGGTCGTTTTGCACGTGAAGGGAGGGAGGGGGGAGGGTCAGCGAGGGGAAGGGGGAGGGGGGTGGGACTATGTGTGTGTGTGTGTGTGTGTGTGTGTGTGTGTGTGTGTGTGTGAGTGAGTGTTTAATGTTGTTTGTGACGGGGACATACGATGCTAGAGAGTTGAAAATTGACAAAAATTGGAATAAGGAGGGTAAATACTGGTCAGCAAAAATTAGAAACTAATTATAGGTTTGAAAAAAAGTAAACAGAAAAATTGGAAACAAGATAACGATTTTCAAAGCCAAAATAAATCTCTATTTATCAATTGCAATTTGTTAAGCCAAAAGCAACAGCGAGTTTCAAATATACTGCACGGTGTTGCACGAAATCAGACTATTTTTTTGAACAAAAAGATAATGAAGGGATTTTAATGACTTTACGAAAAGTAGGGTTGTCACCTTTTTTCATCGGTTACAATTGAAACTTGTTTTTTTTTTTTGATTTTTCGTGACTGTCAATGCAGCTCCTATATAATAGAATTTTAAATGTGAGTTTTGCAGTGGCTATTGTGACCGACTGCCGAACATTCTTTGTAAATCGTTCTCTATTTGGGTTTTTGAAGTTGAATAATTAATAGCAATTTTTGAACTGCGCCTCTGGCAAAACGTAGAAGTATTTATTGCTTTAGTTGGACAATTGCAGCAAGTCTCAATTGAAATTGAAGCTTAGGTTAGCATGTAATCATTGACTGCGCACGCCCACGCGAACACGACAGAAATAATAAAAGATGACTTGATCGAAATTGTCTTGGTTAGCCCAAACTGTCCAATTGGGCATAGTAGTAAACGTTCAATTGAGATATGCTCTGAAAAATTTGCGATCACCATGAAAAATTTGGAATGAAAAAACCGGATTTTTTGATAAAATAAATTAAGGAAAAAAAATCATGGTCTGTTCACCAAAGAAAACAATCAAAATATGGTCTGTTCAGCTTTGTACGGAGATCTGCAGGCATACAGGCTAAATATTTAAATTATTTTTTTTCTAACTAAGAAATCATTCTTGAACATACAGCAACAAGTGACGTTCTTATCAAACATATATATGTGAAACCCATTTGCAATCTATTTTTAGCTGTTTCACAATATATTTTTTAATTGAACAAAAAATTTTCTAAAACGACTCTATAAGTAAAATTTGTTGCTAATTTTGTGAAACTGAAACTGTTTGCATAAATAAATTTGAAACAAATATTAAAAAATCGTATTAACAGCGTTTCTTAAACTAAAAACTTGTTTTATTGTTTTTTTTTCGAAAATTTGGTTTGCGGCAAAAAAGCGAGTTTTCCGCTTTCTTTAGCTTCCATTCGGCGTCCTAATTTTCGTTTTGAGAAACGACTTCTTAAATCAAGCTGAGTTGGGAACTCCGGAATTAGAGCCAAAAGCAATATCAAGCGGAAAACAATATAGTAGCGGAAAACAATATCATAGCGGAAAACAATATAAAGTTATGAGCACTGTTTTGTTGTTTGTGTTTTAAATCGTGTTTCCTTTTTCTTGCATTGTTCTAAAGTATGATTTGAAATTTTTTTTATTATAAAATAGGTCTTAAGAAAAATTGTTTATTCAGCAGTCAGTTTTTAAATTGATTCTAAAAATGTTTTCAAGCCTGCTTGATTTTGAATTTTGAAGCTATTTAAATTGTTAATCGAAATTTTTATTACCATTTGAAGCTACCATTTTGTTTCCTGATTTCACGTTTTGTGGATTTACCAGATACGAGGGTCTAGTCTAAAAAGTGGTATTCAACGGCAGAAATGTGATATGCTTGCCGTTGTGGAGTTTCAAGGACATAATCAAAAATATTTGGTTTTTAATAGTCACTCAAAAATTTAAAAAAAAAGTTTTTATGGAATAAAAATCGACTATAAGAATTCTATTTTTCAATGCGAAAAAAAAAGATCCATTATCAGTCGATTAGAATCTTTTTAAATTTTTTTTCCGTATGAAATTTTCATGTAGTTTAATCGATTATAGTGATTTATTTTCAGTTTTCAGTGCTTTTTAAATTTTTTGTAATCGTTCACAACATAATTTCACTTCATGATTTTGATTTATTTTTTGACGTCACTTTGATGCCTCCACTCATTAAACTAACAAAATATCAAACTGCAAAGTAAAAAATTTTTGCGGGAAGTCAACTTTCATAGATTTTGTGTAGAACAAAATCAAAATCGATTATAAGGAGGAAAAAACTGGATAATCGATTATAATGTGTTTCAATTGATCTTTTGGAATGAATGTTGTTCGTTTATCTTGAACCATGTAATCTAAGTTGTCTAAAATTTGCCATGATAATCAATTTTTAGCCACGAAACATCGGTTCGGGTTGTATGTGGATTCAACAGAGACTGTAAGTGGAACTTTTTACGAATGATGATAAGCAGCTACAAACGTCGAAGTCATTTGTAGTTGAAATTAGGGGTAGCGAAAGCTCATTTTTGTACTTTTAAGTTACAAATCCATTGGAAATCCATCATAACATGCCCGACAAAAACTCTATAATGATGTAAATATGATTTTGAGTTTATATTTTAGTTGAAGCAAATTTCACTCTGTAAAATTGGATATTTTTTAAATATTGACCTGGTATACGCTTTTGATGATTTCTTCTTTGTTTTTTTTTATTAATCTAATCACAGAATATCAACCAAAGTTACTTTAACAATGCAACAGTGTTTTACCTGTGTTTGTTAGAAGATGGAAGGTAGCAGCGAAGATAAAATAACTCAAATGCATTTTCGTCCTCAAATTGGAATAAGAAATAAAATATCGGCTCTTTAGTATCCCTTTCTGCTATTAGTAAAATGAATGGTATTGTAGTAAAGAATTATGTCAGTGTTTTGACTTACTGAAATAATGAGGTATGGTAAAGATATATGTTAATATGTTTTATTTTACCAACAAAAAGTAGGCGTGGGATTAATCGATTATTTTTTGAGCTTTTTTAGCTTTTCAGGTAAAGGATAATCAATCACTAAAATCACAATGGCTCTTTCCATTGTAAATAATTTGAAGGCTGAATATAGAATTAAACTAAAGCGCAGAATTCGATTTCAAGTTTTTTTCCTATCTTGTGAAGTGATTTTAAAATAAAAAAAAATGTTATTCGCGTTTCAAATAAGTGATGCGTTCTTAAAACGATACTAGAAAAACCTTTTAACTAGGTACAACAAGGTTTGACGATTTCAAAAACCGATTGACGTAATAAATAGGATTGTATTCCATTTTTCCAAGAAGCCTTTTATAATCAGAAAAGAAAGGGTTTAAATGTGATAACTGAAATGTCGAAAAGCCTTTGAACGTTTTCGTAATTTTGGGAAATATTTTTCGCGATGGTAGATATTCTTTTAGCTAGAATTCCAGGAAAGAAAAAATATTAGTGCTTTTGTTTATTTTTGTTGTTCTATGTTTACTCAAAGGTAAAATCGCCCAAGACAAAGAACGGGTATTGTTAATTGGGTGAAAATAAGCAAAATAAACACAAATAATGCATTTTGAAATCCCAGAAGACGCGTGAAATTTAAATAAGACTATGAATACGATTTGCTTGAATAAATCTAGCCATTGACGGAAGGTGAAAAACCAAAATATTTGCAATAAATTTTGAGAATGAATTAAATGTAGCTGTTATTTATAGTAAAAAGTAAAAGTTAGTGAACTCTGAAGTTCGAACAATTTTATTGCAAAACTCATGGCGACCAAAATTTGAAATTATTTTTTCATATTATTTCTAGATTTTCTAAGCTATTCAAAAGAGACGGGTTGAAAAAAAAATTTTCAAAAGATGAATGCCCACAGTCATTCACAACAAATTTTTTAAAATTTTTTAAATCCCTTAACAGATCATTTTAGACATTTTAATTAAAAAAAAACTAACCTCCAAGTGCCTATAAAAACTATTAAAAACTTAAAATGATTTTTTTTTGTTTCAAGATGGGCTGATTTAAGGGAGAGGGTGCTGATTTTGCAGTTTTGTGGTCTTGACCTTCCAAAAATCAAAAAAAAAACCAAATATTGACTTTTTTGCATTTTTTGTAATTCAAAAAGGCTCTGTATGTTTAAATTAGGGTTCAATTTCAAGATAATTATCAATTACAGTTTTTTTCAATCCCTGTTTTTTTCCAGATGTCGGCTATAATTTTCAGGCGGGAATAGGCAATTGTCTATAAACTTGCATGACATTGAAGGTAAGCAATTGCTTAATTGAGCAGAAATAAAATTTTTTCTCAAAAACTATTTCAACAGCTTAAAATAAATTTCTATGGGTTTCAAAAAAAATTAGCGTGCGTTTTTCAGCATTTTTAAATTTTCAGTTTTTGGAGTTTTTTCTATGCTCCTCACGGGTTGAGCTCTCATTGAAACTTAACGATGAAAACTAAAAAAAAACAGCGATCGCCATTGATGAATTATTGATGTTCATTGCCTCAATAGCAGATTGTATCGGTAGATTATCGCTAATTTGGCCAATTTTCATCAATGAAACAGCGATATAGAGCCTATCAAACTGAGCAAAAGTAGTAAGCTACAGGGGTTCGCTCCCTCTACCCTCAGCTTTAGAGCCATGTATGCTACCTTTGCGGCACTAAGTCTTAGTTATTCTCAAGAAGTAGGGCTTGTCAACTCACACTCTCTTCTGGAAGCAACTAGAAAGAGTTAAAATTTCTTAAGTTTTAGCGCTGATTTTCTACGGAAAAATTACTGAAATAGCTCTGAATTATTGCACGTTTAGCTAGGAAAAAAACTCTGTGTTATGCATGAATCAGCGCTGGAAAATAGCTATCATTGGGTTACTACATAAAATGCGATAATTAACAATAAATTTTTAACCCGGGCTGGCTTTTACAAACTTCAAAGTGTAGTTACCAAAATTTTATGATTACCAAAATAAAATAAAAAAGCACAAAAGATTTGGTAGTTTTTTTCATAATTGCAGTTATTTTGATTAAATTTCGAGATGTTCAAAAAAATATAACGTACAGAAAAAAATTAGTTAGCTTTAATAAACTTTTTTGGAATTTTTTATACTGAGAGAGATGCAGTTGTAATTAATTGAAGCTGAGGTCTTTTCAGATTATACAATTTTCAGTTTGTATCCGCTTCACTTTGAAATTTGAAGTTTTCAAAGCACATTTCTCCAAGGCGAATGTTTCGCCATTGCCTCAGTCTGCATGGAAAAAACAAAACAACAGTTGATTCGAACATTAAAACGAAAAGTTTAACGTAAGAAACCAATTGTTGAAGGGAAACGCCTGTTAAGGATTCCTCGAAAATTCTTGGTGAAGAATGCAGTTTTTAAAGACAAAATAAAACTTTGATTTATATAATTTTTTTTTCTTTACGTAATAAGTAGTCCAGAAAGCTTCGCTGAACTCACTGTTTTTTATTTTTGCGCGTTTAAAACTTCAAGTTGACCAAAACGACCAGTATCAAGCAGTCATGATTTCAAAAAAATAAAGATGCCATACTATTTTAAATTTAAGTATCAAATTTTTTCGGAGCGTAAAAAAACTAAAAAACAAAAATAGCATAATACGATGGAATGTTTTCTATTAAAACCATCCGGAGTGCAAATATTGCGCTTTACAAAGCACTGAATACTAAAAAATTTCAGAAAGCACTGAAGATAATTAAAACAGCAAATTAACAACGATAAATTTGAAACATTTAAAATCTAGAATGCAAATCTTATCTATTTTTTAAAAAATAAGTTCAAGAAACTTGCATAATAAAAGCAAAGATTAACACATTTTTCTAGCATTTCTTGTAAGATGGCTTGCAAGATTTGCACTCCGACAACACGGGATATTATAGTCTTTATTACTGATTTTTAAAACAAGATAATTGTTTTTTTGATTGTTTGTTTATTTTGAAATAATTATTATAAAACTGTTTGGATCATTTGTTTTAATTAGATGTCAAATTTCAATAGTGCAGAGCAGAAATTGCACAAAAAAAATAAAATTAGGCTGCAGTATCAATTTAGACGAAGACAGAAAGCAAGAATTGCCAATACATAATTGAGTTGCCAATACATTGTGCCTCGAGGCCTCTAGACAAAAAAGGGGCCAAAAAAAACATTTTTCTCTAATTTTTGCTTAGATTATTGCGTGTTAATTTTTATTTTTTCTTTTATACAACTAAAGCAAAAAAATAAGCAAAGCTCAGTTGAAAAGGTAAACTTTTTAAGAATAATTAAGGCCGCCACGCCATACTTTACTAATTTAACTAAATCGAATAGTTTGAAGAAGTCCAAATAACTTGATTGAAGCATAGTCAAGAACTCAAGATAACCATGTAATGAAGCAAAAATACTCAAATAAGGATGATTTTATATCTGTCAAAAAATTTAGCTGCTTATTCGTACAACAAATAACACTGTAAAATCGTGAAGCATTAATTCGTTCATGCTTAAAACATGAGGTATCTAATATTTTAAGGTGACAACGGGAAGGGACGTATAATATTTAATTTCAGGGGAAAATTTGAAAAGGTTGAGAAAATGTAAACAATAAAGTACTCTCAAAAACCTTTATAATATATCTTCAGTTAGTAATTTACTACCTTGGTAGCAATTTAGACATCTGTAATTTTATTTTGATTATTTCTACACGACAAAGATTTGATGCGATGTCTAATTTCAATTCAAAAATCGCTTTTGTTTTTGTTTTTTACTTCCATTTTAGAAGTATGGAGTTAAAGCCTCTCATTGGCTGAAATGATAAAATCACTTTTCTTGAATTTTTTTTCAATTGACTTAAGTGAGAAATTACGTTCCAAATGGAAAAAATATTTTAGCTTGTCTTTTTCAATTAATTGAGGTGAAAAATAGTATATATCATCAAAGCAAGGGAAATAATTTTTTTTCTCAAAATTTTTTCTTAAGTAGAGGTGAAACATGTACTTAAGGAAGGGATGGAAATCAAAAAGTATACTTGTAAATATTTTGAGTGAATATTTTGGTCATATTATGACCAAAAAAACAGAGAAGTAATTATATTTTCAAACAGTTTCGAGTTGTTTGAGACATTGAATGATGGTGAAAATTGTGTGTAAGGTCAGCAAAATGAAAAGATATAAGATCTGTTAGACTTAATTTGTGGCGTGTAAAATACCTTTGTGAAATCTATTTTCTATTTTCGCTCCTCTAGGCTACGTCTGATTTAGTGCGGGTGCTGCTTGAAAAAAGAGCAATCACAAAGCAAGGATTTCCACAAATTAAACGAAACCCGACCAGCCAACCGAAAAACCCGAAAAAAAAGTAAAAAAAATCACAAAAATTTCAAAAATTCTCCAGACAATTTAATACTTTGTGTAAATAAATGTTACAGTTTTGAAATCGAAAGAACGTTGAGTAAAACTCGTATCTAGTGAAGCAAAAATATGAGAAATTTATACAATCAAATTTAAAAAAAAAACTCTAATAATTAATTTTCTAAACTGAAAGAACGTGTTTAGCACACAAAAACAAATAAACTATAAACTCATACATATTTTTGCTTTTATATGAGATCATTTTTTGCTCTGTAAGATTCGACTTAGTGGCGCGTCGGTTAATTAGTTGTTGGTGTTTCCGTATCCCGGATTGAAGAAGCGCAAATCTAGGAAGTGCAATTCTTTCCCCTTAAAGTACCCGCTGCCACCACACCATACAAACTATAGTCCGTACCCAGCCGTACCTTTTGTGTAGCTCCTATCTTTATGAATTACCCTAGCTACAACAGAATTAACCCAACAACCGGTTCACACAACCGAACGTCCACTTAGAAGAGATGCCGGATCTCTTTAAATAACCCAACTTTGACACATAGTACCTAGTAATGAATGAATCTCCTCCCCTATATAGGAATAATTCAATAATCATAATCAAGCTTATGTGAAGTTTGTACCTTGTAATAAAATTACAATAGGGTGAGGGTTAGCAAGGTTCAAAAATCTAGAATTGCAGTTTTAGCTTGATAACCATTCTTGTTTGGGTTAAGATCAATCAAAACTCATTTCTTCGTGTTTTCCTTTGACCTTAAAACTTAAAACCATTGTTCTATTTAGCAAAGTATTTTCGTGTTTTTAGTCTAATTAAACATTCGGCTAGTCGTGGAATCTTTTTCAGTTGACGAGGTGAACAAAATCAATTGGAACGTGATGAGAAGAAAAATGGACTCAATTTCCGTGTACTTCATATTAAAAACAGTTGAGCCAAATGCTAAATGATCTGAAGATTACTTATCCAATATCGAAAATGTTTGTTCGCTTGTCTAAGCATGAAAGGAAGCAGTAATATGGTGTAAGTCCATTTTTGCAGTCAGTTATGAGACGGGGCTCGAAATGGCACATTCTTTGCAGCAATAGTTGAAGAACTCTGTAATAATTATCCTCTCAAGCTTAACCAATCACGGAAACATTGATATCGAGGTAATCTTATCATTACCATTTTGTCAATTGTCATCTAGAAAGTATACCCCTTAATTGTTAGGGTGTTGTAAGGTATTTTTTAAGGCAAGTTTACCTTAACTTTTTTTGAGTGTAATTATTCAGTAAAGATCAGTAAAGATATAGACCAAATCTGGCCGTAAAACTATTGCCCACAATTTTCTCGGAACGCATTATTCTTATTCTTGGTTTTTTCATTATTCTTGATTTTTTGCGAGATTTTCACAAGATTTTCTCTTAGGCCAGAAAAACAGGCTGGAGGCACTCAAACCTTTAGGTTAAACGACTGCCCGCAACGAGCGCCCATGGATTCTAATCGACTATAATGGATACCAGAGACAAAATAATCCATTATAATCCCTTACAAATGTAAAATTCAGACCAAGAAATCGATTATATTGTCCTAATAATCGATTATTTTTGAAAAAAATAATCCCTTATAATCCGTTATAATCGATTATAATCCATTATTTTTGGCAAGGAAATCGATTTTTTTTACCAAGATAATCCATTATAATCCCTTATAATAGATTATAATCCATTTTATTTTAAGAACTAAATTTTATTATTTTAAGGAAAATTTGCAAACTTTGCAAGAAATTTGCAAAATGTAAGCCATGTCTTTTAGTAAATGCCATGTCTCAACGTCAACCCCTCAAGTTTTTTTAAACCTCCTCCCCAACTAAAGAGAGGGAGGGTAAATAGGGGGGACTGGTTTGTAGGGGGGGGGATAAACTGGCGGGGGGTGTCAATTATTAACTCCCTCCCCCAAAGCCTAGGAATAAATAATCCCCTAGCCACTAGGAGGGTGAATGGCGGTTGTGTTTAACTGGCAGTGAGGGTAAGTAAACTGAGGGGAGGGGGTAAACTAAGATGAACTCAAAAAGTAGAGACAAAAAAACAAAAATTTTAATGTGAAATGTAACTTTGTATGAAACGTAATACGTACCAACTGCACTTAACAGGAAATGAGATAACTTCGAAAAATTTGCAAACTATAAGATTAATCTCTCGAAAAAATCCATTATAACTGATCCTAATTGATTATAATGGATTACATTGGCATAAAAATATTAGGATTATAAACCATTTTTAATGGATTACAATCGATTATAATAGATTATATTGACAAAAAAAATTTTAGGATGATAATCCATTTTTAATGGATTATAATCGATTATTTTCTAATTTTATAGATACGGACCATATTATGACAAAATAATCGATTATGATCCATGGGGCGCTCGGTGCGGGTGTGTTGTACAAGCTTAATTTGAGAGAATTTCAGTGTCCTTTAACGCTTTCTAACTTTCTTTTAGAGGTCAAGGTCGTTCAATTGAACCAAAAAATTACAATCCTCCAGTCTGACAGGGTTGTGGTAACAACAACAATAATAAATAACTGAACACGTTTACCTTGTTCTGGTTCATTATTGTTCATCTTAGAACTTTAAATTTAGTTTCAATGGACTTGTGCCCAATTAAATTGGGACATGTGTTTTCCGTTTTCGAGTTTCATCTCTGCGTTTTTGTTCTGACTTTCGTAACGAAAGTAACGGAACATTGGGGCTCAGTTTGGGTTTTTTCTTCAGACAAATTTCGACATTTTGATTAGCCAGAACTTTCACAGAAGTTTTGACAGAACTTTAAAATATCATTCGAAAAATATTGTTGTCCTGAGCTTAATTTTGACAAGATATTTCACCTGTGATCGTTTTTCGCGAAGTTATGGGGTTCAAAGATTACCAATTTGGCCAATTTGGGACTAATAACGCGCGATATATTTAGCGCTCTTAACGCGTAAGCGGAGAGTTAATCCGTCTTAGAAATCGTTCCAAATTGGTTGAAAGAAGCTTATTTGCCATAATTGATTTGTTACAAGGAGCGAAATCTATCCTTTTGCGAAATCTAATACTTTTCACATTCTGGGATCCGAATATACAAATTGATCTTTCTCATAGCATCCTCCTGCCCGTAAAAAAACATTAGTTCTTTACACGTACTGTGATTGTACGATTATGGGAGGGGGCTTTAATTTGCAGGGGGGTTGTAATTAGGGTTAGCCTATATCACTTGATTTCAAGTGGAGAAAAGTACAAGGTTCCAATAAATGGAATGATTAGTTCACCTCTCTTCCTAGTATGGGTCTAAGGTCAACCAAGTCTGACTTGGGATACTGGAGGGAGATGGATGCTGAGAATGAATTGAGGGATGATGTCATAGGAACCATGTGGATAGGTGGCCATGCTAGAACCCACGACTGGACTCACTCCCCCACCGCTCATTTCGAAGCACACACTCGCAAAGTCAACATGATAACAACACATAGTAGTACAGTGAACCAATTATTATGTTGTTCTACAAAAATAGCAGGAGCGGATTTAGACTGAGGGGGCAGGGAACCTCCTCCCTCAGGGATTTGACCCCCTGCCGACCCAAAATGGTGCCCATTTTGGTACTTTTTTAAAATATCCATTTTTGGCTGACCGAATCTATAATTTTTTCTAGAGGCGTTTTTGGATTCATTATATATCAATTTTTTATTATTACAGTGCTGATTTAAATTAACCGGACAAAACGCGTTAAACTTGAAATTTAAAACGCATTTTTCTCAAATTGGATTGAGTTTAGGTGGAAACTTATGAAGACAAAACTTGCCTAAAATTTAAGCAAAATTAATATGGTGTAATTTGTTTCGCAAAATTCGGGCCCAAAATTTTACCCCAAAAATGGGTCATTTTGGCTTTTCTTAGTTAATCAAAAATTTTGCCAAAAATACCCAGTCGATCACAGACATAATTATATCAAAGGGAGCCTCTTACGTAGCCCAACAAACTTTATGAAGGGTATTTTCTCCAAAAGAAATTTGGAAATTGTTTAAAAATTGTTTTTAAATAAAAAGTTGGTATTTTATATTGTAAAAACGACCTTTTTTGTCTGTCAAACAAAAATAAATTAACTTATACAATATTTTGGACATTATACCTTTCCTAAAGTTTGTTGGGCTACGTAAGAGGCTCCCTTTGATATAATTATGTCTGTGATCGACTGGTTATTTTTGGCGTAATTTTTGATTAACTAAGAAAAGCCAAAATGATCCATTTTTGGGGTAAAATTTCGGGCCCGAATTTCGCAAAACAAATTACACCAGATTATTTCTGCTCAAATTTTAAGCAAGTTTTGTATTCCTAAGTTTTCACCAATTTGAGAAAAACGGGTTTTAAATTTCAAGTTTAACGCGTTTTGTCCGGTTAATTTAAATCAGCGATTTA